GTGTGGCCATGGACTAGGTTGTCAGCTCCTCTGTGTCGTCCGCTCTGAAGCGACAAGCGCTCGTACACCGACATCGTGCACTCCGCTCGACCTTTCATGAGAACGGGTGGATCTCCAGTAAGGGCACCAGGACGGCACCAGTGTATCGCCTGCTACTGACGGGAAGGCGCGAACGTCGCAGGACGGCTCATCGTGGCTGGATACATCACGCCGCCGGGGTACCCGAAGTATTTCCCCCGCCCAGCTTGGATCCATCGCGTCGCTGCAAGGGATTCCGGACACGAGCCAGTCCCGCGCCTGTGCGTTGCCGGCGGAGAGGGGGAGGAAGGGAGGACTTGCAAGGTGGAGAGCCGCGACGGGTCTGAATCAGATTGCTGCGGGCGCGTACTGGGACGCGCGGTGCGAAGGACTTGGAAGCCGTTACGCCGATCGATCGCGTTACCCATACAAGCCTGCGCCGTTTCTTTGGATTCTACACGCAGCGGGGAGGGACACTGAGGGCGGCAGCAGCACGAGGAGCTACGGCTCCCGCGCGATGGGGCGCGTCACGCGTACTAGCTGCGGGGTCTGCATCGCGCAGGGACTCTGTGAACCTCACGCACACAGAAGCGTCGGCATTTGGGGTCCTAAAATCCACGTCAGCACATCATCCGCACTCTCGGCCTCCTCCAAATCATGCGAAGACTCACGCAAATTTGTCCCAGAGAACACACAGTTTTCAAGCGAAAGTCCCGGGTGGCACAACTGGGGGCAGCTCGGGAGGCACACCGAGTTTGGCCGTCGTCTTCTTGATACTTATAACCAACTAACTATCGGCGCTGCTGGAAGTTAGAATCGTGTCTGGTTTTTTTGCAAGCAACGCACATCACACAGAGCCGTAGCCCACAAAGCAGGGGCAATGAGCACTTCGTTGGTGTGGACCCTAAAGTGCAGCGTCGCGCTCTCGAGTCTTGAGTCTCGGGCCGCTGGTCGACGTCGCACTATTGGTACTGACGCATTGGCCTATCATACCGATCCAAAAGCGGCCAGCGCACTCGTCATACGCAGGAGGCCATCCATGTGCGGGTGTTCGAGTTACCCGCCATTAGAGCTCAGAAGTGCGCGAAAAGACTCGGAGTACGCTTGAAGACTGAGACGGCGAAAAAAAAAAACGTCGTGTCCATCGCGTTGGGCTACATGTATTGTGGCTGCAAATACCGCAAGAGGAGCCCGGCGGCGTAGTAGTATTGGGTCTAGAGCCTGTCCGTGGTGGTCGTCGTCCAACGCGCTGGTGGACGAAAAGCAGTTTCGGGACATTTCGGACCGATGATTGATCATCGATCATCACCGCAGACGGACCACTTGTTCCAAACTTGTTCAACATTCGACGTTCAACCTCCACGCCTGCTCCCTTTTGATTGTAGGCATGGCGCCCTCTGAGTCGTAGTACCTATCCCGAGTCATAAGACTAGGCAATTTCCAACACTTGACAGGTCCCCAATACTTTTGACGACGTACTCCGCGAGTCTGAGGGCGAAGGTTGAACCTGGCTGAAGATTCGAACACGAAATCATCTCGCGGCTAAATATCATTCTGAATCCAGTTAAGGTCAAGAGGAATGCAATAGAGCTTGCAAGCCTTCGTGGTTCATGGCGATCACCTCATTTGAGTGAAGCCCGTAGACTCGAAAAATTCAATGAGGAGACGGGGGTTAGATTCCTCCCGAAGGCGTGCTATAGTCGGAGTCTGACTGCTTTTTTTGAATTTCTAGACGTTCCTCCTAGCGACTCCAGGCACGAATTGTTTATTGCAATTTGCAAAAATAATGTCCGCTCCCATTTTTGGAAAAAAAATGTTTGAGTTTGGGAGGAGGGTTCGAACCGGGCGGTCCACCTCTTTTCTCAACTGAGACCACCTGCCTGCATCCACATTTTGCGTCTACTGACCTGTGCAGTGTAGGTATTAGCAAGAGCAATGCTCGTGGTCTAGTTGTATCCCGCAAAAAAGGCCAGTCTATACCCAAAAAGGTGCGGGCCGCCCGGTTCGAACCGTCGCAAGGATAAGACTCTGGATAAATTTCAAGCCCAGCGTGGTCCCATTTCGGAACGTGCCAGGTTGTAGACTGCAGTACATCGGCCCAAAAAATAATGTACTGGACTACGCCAGCATCCAATCACCGTCGACGAGCTCACCTTCAAAGAGGCGGTAGATCTCGGGCAACTAAACGCCAGCTAGAAAGAATTACCGAACATAAAACTTACACGCCCACAGGCCAGACCATCGGCTCCTCCTTGAAGATTGCGAAAATCTTGTGTGCCAATTTCGCAATCTGACAGACGGTGTCCCTCCGGAAAACGAGCGCTCGCAGGATCTCGGTCCCATTTAAAGGTGTGACGGTGAGAATCCGGGGCTCCATGTCCCGCACGGTGTCAATGAACATCCCACGGCACTCAGCCAGCTCCACTGTGCCGGTGCAGAAGAACAACGCGTGTTCGACTGTTTCAACCACACCGCAGCCAAAACGACAAAGCCGGCAGTGCCGGGGAACATCCTCCCGATGGTACCGCTGTTTGTACCTCATTCTCTCAACAGCCAGTGGGTGCTGACTGACCAGGAGACGAGTCAGTGCCTTCCTGTGCTTCGCGTTGACCACGAGATCCAAGTAGTGGCGCAGGACGACGGTGATCTTGCGGGGAGGCTCGTCTTCCAACGGCTCGTGTCTGTCGTGAAGGAGATAGAGACGCGCCGAGTTCTCCACCTTGGAGTCCAAAAACTTCATGGCAGATGTGTACACGGCCTTTCCGAGCGCCGTACACGACTCCAGGGTCAAAGCCGTAAGGGGAGGTAGCGTGATAGGGAACGGGAGTTTGCGGAGAGCGCAATGGAGGTCCATCCAATACCCCTGCTTCCCCTCGCAGAACAGGAGAAACGAGTCCTCCAGAGCAGCACGGGCATAATGAGCAGGAGGCAGACTGATGAGGTAGCCGAGGTATCTGATCGCCAAAATGAGTCGGCGGTAACGTATTGGAACCAGTCCAAGTTCGGTAAAAAGCGGCGCGCGAATCGAGTAAGGCCCCAGGCCAAGGAGGCGGCGCAAGAAAGCCGTTTGAACCTTCTCAAGATGCGCCAGGGCACCATCATCAACGTCAATGATGATGTCGGCGCCGCTCGTCAAATGCGAGTCGACGCAGCCCATGTATAAGAGCCGGCCTTCCTTTGGGGGCAGTTCACCTATGAAGGCTTCGATGCCTAAGACAGCGAACCCTGATTTGCGCGCCTTAGAGGCCTTGGCAATATAGTGAGATTTAAAGATATTACGATGCGTGGATTGAAAGGTTACGCCAACGTAGCAAAAACAGTCCGTGTATCTGACCAGATGCTCGTTGAGAGTGAAGCGCGGGAGTGTGGCTGGCACCGGGCCAAAGACCATTACCCAAGATTTGGAGGCGTTGGCCTCGAGGAGATTATTTCCGCACCAGTGTCCAAAAGTTTTGAGATGCCGTTGAAGACCTGCCGGGCTGTAGGAGACAATGGCCATGTCGTCCGCGTGCTCCAAGTGAGACATGACAATGTTCAGTAGCAGGACATCATCAGCGTCCGGATGAAGCTTGAAGTCGGCAAAGAACAGGTCCCAGAAAGTCGGAGAAATGGGATCACCGATCAAGACTCCGATGTCAGACGTGAACATCTCGGACTGTGCGCCGCCCATCGTGACCACATATTCCATCCGCCCGTACAGCATTCGCATCCAGTCAAACAGCTTTCCCGTAATGCCCATATTGTACAGCTTCACCCACAGCAGATCGCGATTCGTCGAAGGGAAAGCGTTGGTGATGTCGAGGAATGCGACCCACAGAGTGCGGCCTTCTGCGCGGGCTCTCTCGATCATACACCGCAAGACGAAACAGTTGTTATTCGTCCGATATCCCTCCCGGAATCCGTTCTGTGACGGAGGGATTATCCCCTTCTCCTCAGCCCAAGAGTAGATCCGCTTGTGAATCAGCAAGCAAACCAACTTCAAGAAGCAGCTCTCCAGACCTATCGTCCGATAGCTATTCGCCTCTGAAAGTGGTTTATCTTTCTTGGGGATCGCGGCTATCAAGGTCGTGAACCACACCAACGGGGCGTCGTTGCGGTCCAGGCATTCATTGATGAGTTTACAGAGTATGTCGTTGTCGATTGCAAGTATCTCCTCATAATGCTTCCTATCCAGGCCCACTGCAGTTCGATAATGACCTTTCAGATGGTCCTTTGCCCACTCCATATCCTCCTCCGTTACCCTGCGACCGAGGGACGCATTTTGCGGAAGAGGCTCCTTGGATGGATTCGGAATATTTTCGGCGCGTGCCTCCACCACACGCTTGCGATCCAAGTTGAACTCAGGAGGGGGCTCCGCTGGAGCGTTCATGCGCTTCTCGAAGCAGTTTGCAAGATCAGACAATGAGACAGCTGGCAGCCTTGGTTTGGGGTCTGCCATACTCCGATACACTTTCCAGAATGCCGCAGAATTAGACGACGCGTCCGTCAGGCGCTTCAAATGACCACGTTGAATTGCGCGATGCGCAGACCGGTTACGATGAACTGCAGGGTCATGGGGGTCGTTTGGAATATCATCCAGCACACCTGGTTTGCGACCAGGCGCGGGCTGAGCTACCATTTCCGGGATGTTGCATGACACCTTTTCCAACTCAAGCGGCATTTCCAGTCGGAACGGTGCGTCGGGTGCGGGACAGGTTACATACTCAGCAGCAGGCAAGGGCAGATTTGCGCCTTCCTTTGCAGCGACGTCGGCGGCGTCGTTGTGGGTCGTCCCAACTGAAACTTTTTTTTTCAAAAAAAGAAAAGGGACATTATTTTTGCAAATTGCAATAACAAAATCACAGATCTTAATTCTGAAGACGGACTCTGTGGGCGAGGGCGAAGGTTGAACTTGGCTAAAGGTTTGAACATGAAATCGTCTCATGGCTGAGGATTATTCTGAATAAATACAGTCCTCAAGAGGGATGGACGAGACCGTGAAAGCCTTCGTGGATCATGGTGATCACCTCATTCGAGTAAGGACCGATCCGCAACATGCAACGAGGATACGGAGGTTCGATTCCTCCCGGAGGCGTGCGGTAGTCTGGACATGCTTTTTTTATTAAAAAAAAACCGACGAGACTCCGGGCATCGATTCTTCAACAATGGAACAGGTCCCATATGACTATGAAGGCGTACCAGTAGTGCGTGGGTGACCTCTGTGGGCGAACGTTGAAGATTCGAACACGAAATAATTTCATGGCTCAAAATACCTCCAAATCCACCCATGCGTCAAGAGGTAGGTAGGTAGGTAAGTAGGTAGGATTACACGGCAATCGAATGAACGTTCAAAGCCTTCGTGGATCAGGGTCATCACCTCATTCGAATGGGTTCGCCAAAAGCCATAATTGAGGAGACGGAGGTTCGAGCCCTCCCGAAGACGTATCGGCGACACGGACCTGTTTTATTTTGTTTCGCTAATGTCCTAGAAGCCGTGGAGTAATACACGGAATCTTGACTGCATCTAGTGCTGACGGCAGAGGCGGGAAGGTAGTGGAAGCTAGTTCCACAGGGTTGAAAATTGAACGGTTGAACATCGAACGCTCAATCAAAATTCTTTCTCGTGGTTACGAGTCGCTATAAATCCGGTCACCGGTCAAGAGGGATACAGTAGCCCTTAAAAGCTTTTGTGGATCATGGTGATCACCTCATTCGAATGGGTTCGCCAAAAGCTCTCATCGAGGAGACGGAGGTTCGATTCCTCCCGGGGGCGTATCGGCTTATTTCTAGCTGCCCAGGTGGTGCGAATGGGGACGCTCAACGAGGGCCTGAGAAAGTCACTGCAGTTCGTTACACAGAACGGGAGCGTGGCGTCCTCTTCGATGGATATTTATTAAATCCTCGAACAACAATGTCAAGCGGAAGCCCAGCAAGAAAACGACGTCAACAACTCTCTATCCTAATCATTCTCCAAGAGATGTACGATCACAAGCCATTAATGAGCGTGCCGAGCGTGTTGGCGGTCATGACCGGTGTGATGCCACCGCTCATGAGCTGGTTCAACGTGATCTGCTGGTTCGCTGTCGGTGTGCCCGAGCACGTCAACTGGTTGTAATTGAAGACAACCTACATGCGACCAGCGTCAGCATACGAGACAGACAAGTGCAGGAGTAGAGGGGGTCAAAACGCACGGGAACGGGGACATCTGCCGGCGCAGTCGGAGGTGTTGTGACGGGGACGGTGACCAAGTCCGTCCACCAATCTTGCATATCGTCAATCGATTCCTCCAGCGTGGCCTGGAACTCCCCGACGACGTCTTTGATCCAGTCCTGGTAGATAGTTCCAATATTCGTAGTGGCGGCTGCCGCCGGTACACCGGGTTGGGTACGGTAGCGCGTGAGCCATCTCGTCCAAGAATTTTTTATGCAAGTCGACTGAGAAGTGGCGGAAATCAGCCAGTGTCTCGCCATATGGTGAGAGCGAAGCCTTACTTCGCTGATGAACTCCTGTCGAACCGCGGCAGTGTTCATGTACGCGAGTGTCGCTGCGACGGAACGAATGGTAGCGACGCGAGCAGACTGCAGTTCAATCAGGTCATGGTTGTGAAATGTTCGAGGTCAAAGTGGTACGCACCCAGGTTTTGCTTTTGAACTTGGCTTTGTCGCGACCTTTCTGAGTGAATGCAGCACCCTTGATACCGTTCATGAGATTCTGCGGTGTGCGCTTTGGCGTCAGAGTCGAAAGTTTAAGAGGAAAGGAGCCTCACGTTCAGCCACGGCATGAATTTCGGGGCCGGGTTCCGTGGTAAGCAATTCACGAGATCGACGATGACTTGGTCAGGGATGATATACGTGCCAACCCAACGACAGAAATCGATGTTTTGGCCGGCAACATCCCACAACGGCCGAAGGTCATCCTCCTGGAATTCTTTGATGAAGTCCGCAACTGCAAACCCTCTCTCATGAGCAACGGCCCTCGCAGGATACGAGGGAAACGTACTGGTCTGAAGCTCGTAGATGTGCTCGCGCCCATAAGAGTCAGTGTTCGAACCCGGGGCTCGAACTGTCCGACTTGTGACAGACGCATCCCCAGTTTGGCTTGTGGGATTTGCGTAGTCGTAAAAGATATTTTGCTAACCAGAAGGGCTCAAGTTACCGGTGAGATGGCAGCGGTGAGACACGTACGACGGCATTCGTATAAGCGGCTGCCACGATTGGGTTACTGCATACATCCTCCACGCTTTTCGTGTCCCGCGTCGCTGGACCGTCATGTCAATATCTATCTAGCCCAGAGAGAGAGAACGGAGTTGCTGACATAGTGATTGCCATCGCCGCATTCCGGCGTCAGTTGAGTTGAAGAACTTCGACTCGTTGTCAAAGGAGCGTCGATTAAATTCGTCCCAGGTGTCGAACACTGGTTGGGATACATAAACTGATTTGCATACAGCGGGGCGAAAGACCCATACCTTCGTCTGAGGGATCACACTGTGTACCTTCACCCTGCGTGTTGATCTGGTCCTGGATGCGGGGTAAGATACCATGTGATCGTCCGACGAGATAGCACTACGCACATTGATTGCGGCACAATCGCAATCGCCCGCTAACGGCGGTACGGTACTGCCGGCTCGCTTCGAGAGAGTCCGTGGTAAAATGATGTTCTTCTTCGCGTTGTCCACTTCTTCAAGCCATGCGCCACCGATGGACGGCGAAGGAGGGAAATCATCGTCGAAATCCAGCATCTCCCCTGCCGATGCGCGCCACAGATGTTCATCACGGCCATGGATAGTTGTTGGCTGATCCACAGACTGGAAGCACGTCTGGTAGAACGAGTACCTCTCATTGAAGAAGTCCCAGACATGCGGCCCTGTGTCCCAGTACACCAACCTGACAAAGCGTCAAATAAATCTGAAGCATTAAGTGACCTAGGCACTCACGTTCCAGTGATCCCACCTTGAACATCAACACCATAGTCTAGAAACGTATTCAGTGTTATCGTCGACTGCCTCCACTCCATTTCAGAACTTACACAAATCCCAACAGAATTTCGGCGCTATTGCGTGGCTGACAGAACCGTTGATGGCCAAGCCCGCGAACAGATCTGCACGAACGAACGCCTCCGCATTGATCAACTTACCACCAAGGATCTGTACTCCGAACTGGACTTGAGGCACGACGTGAATGGCGATGTCACCACCCATATCAACGTTATAACCAGCTGCCATGTTGAACCCCTGGCTCTTGCCCGACGGTTGGATCGTCGTGCCGATGTCGTTCGATGTCTTGCCTAGGGTATATTCCGCGCGTCAACTGCCATACAAGGATTTGAGGGGCTCTAGGACTGACCTAGAGCGTAGTTCAAACTGGGCATGGTATATGAGATGCTCGTGTCGAGTTTTCCTTGCACGGAAAGCTCTCCAGAAACTATAAGGTGAATGATGAGTGAGACGTGATATCAAAGTGGCGCAGCTAAATAAACGTACTGTAACCGTTGATTTCGAGGGAGGGACCGATTGTCAAAAGGCCAGGGCTGCGTGACAAGTTAGCGGCGCAGATCCAGCAATAATTTTTGCGCATACTAGTAGAGGCCAGGGAACCCGACTGAAAAAATGATCAGCCACTTCCTCAACTTCGCGCAACATGCACGACTCACACTGTGCAAACGTAACAATTGATGAGTCATACGAAACCTTTGCCATACCCTCCACCGTGAGTGTAGCGCTTGCCGACGCGTCTGCTTTCACGTAGAGGTACGCGGCCTTCACAGTCGGAGGGACGATAGTCGCCTGGAGATAAAACCCGTAGCGCGAATCGAACTTTGCTTTACCCTTGAGCGTGACGTCGAGACTCGCTTCGTATGCGGGAGGCCCGGGGCACGCCGTTTCCGCGTGGAAAATATTCCATTTGTCTCGCCAATGGAAATTTCGAGAGACAGAGTTATCGGAGTCGACCGTGTTGAGCTTGTCCAGCCACTTCGTGAATACGCCCCACCACCTTTTTTGGAGGCTTGGCTTCCCAACTGATAAGCCGCGTTTCTGGCGCCTAATATCTTTTCAGTTGGACGTAACTATGCGGAGAAAACTTCGATTACCATTCACGACGTTCGGGAGGGGAATCGACAACAGTGTCCCAGTAATCCGGCATGTCGGTAACGTCTGCCCGCATGTAGACAGGACCATTATCGTCCGGGATGGACAAAAAGTCTGCTAGGTCGTCAGCGTCAAAGAAGCGCACATTGTTCGCGAGCGTACCATAATCGAAACGAAGCTCGTACACAGGTTCCCCAGCGCGCTTTCGCTGTTGATGATCACCATGGGCGTATAAAATTGACTGGTTCGCATGAGGTGCGAGACTGGCCACACGCGCATACGGCCCGAGTCCACAGCTTTTCGGCATCTGCACGATCGTGTTCTCAGCGCCACCGATAAAGACGTGGGAGCATGCGGGGTCGCTGGGACTTGAGCAGTACGCCAACGCGACCTGCGGCTGGTCCGAGCGAGCGTCGCAAGACGTGATTACCCACTTCGCGGAAATATCAAGCGAAGAGACTGCGTTGGGATTGGGTGAATCGATGAATACCTGGGAATAATAAGAAATGGGTGTTCCGTCTCAACAAAAGAGGAGAGTCGAACCTCGCCGAATGCTTCATCATTTTCATCTTCATCGTCCGGCATATCCGAGGTCGTGCCCGCTCCCACGTCATCGTCATCCGAGTCGTACTGCCCAGCACCAGAGTCCTGGTCCTGGTCAAATTCGGCATCGAACGTCATGGCGTCTCCGTCCAAGGAATCGATCTCCCCAGTCAAGTCGGTGGTGTCGAAGAGATCTTTCCATGTCACCGGCGAGTACGAGTCCCCAGCAGCGTCGCAGCAATATGCACGCTTCTTGCCGCCTGAGCACGTCGTGTCGCCGTCACCCCGCTTGTCTCCAATGACGGCAATTTGATTTTCCTGGCAGAAATTGTCGCGGCCTATTTTCGCACACACGGTGAGCCATAAGTTGACGGAGGCGGAGCGTACTCACAGAGTGGTGGCGTGCCTACCCAGGCGCAATTTTGGACCGGCTCGTTGGGATGTGAGCTCGAGGTGTTGAGATAAGATGGGAATATTATTCGCTCACCGGTTGTTCTCGACAACAGATAGGCCGGACTTTGCTGCCTTTGCAGTAGCTCTTTGGTTCGCCTGCGTCATAAGTGAACAGATATGGGAACTCAATCAAGCACGCGGCTTGGATTTCGTCCGGGTCCATACAGTCACCAACCTGGCAATTATCCAAGGCGTTGATCGTAGTTTTACAGCAGAGACCCTTAGCTCCGCCCGAATCGCATGTTTCGGTCGAAATGAGGGCCTCGTCATCGTTGCAAGAAGGGCTGCATGGCCGCTTGCCGTCTCCGCGCCCTGGAAGTATGAAGATGCCAACATAAGTATGGATCCGATGCAGGAGACGT